TCTTATCTGAAAGTGACTGAAAAGTCAATCTGACCCAGGGTAGCAATTATTGGAAACAATAAAATTTATTTTGAAAGAACTGATTTGACAAGACAACCAAAAATTAATTCTGGGTTTATTAAAAGCTGGCAATGTGGCTGTCAGAGCCACCACTGCTATATAGTATACCATATACTATTAGTATTCACTGAGAAATCAGTTTCCATAGCGAACTCTACACTTTATTTAAAGCAACTTTAATTAATTAATGAGAACATTTTACACATGTGAAATATCTACCCAATCCTGATGGACGAGAACATCGGCTGACACAAAATTAGGTGTTAATGTTGAGGAGAAGTTAAACATTTACAGAAGAGAAAGCTCCTGTAATGAAGTCAGAGTATTTCACGTTCCATGATCGTTTGAAACATCCAGGAGAGCTAGGTCCCTTATCTCCTCTAGAAGCATGTATAGGCTTCTTCCCTTTGTTTGGCAATATTCTTGATATTCTTCCTGAATGGTGTTTACTTTGACGTCTTGGGCAAGCTGAGCTTCCTCCACAGATTTAGTTACTTCTTTCACTAACTCACTCTTGAGCAAGAGAGGACTCTGATGAGAAAGTTCTGTATTTGGTATCATGTATGGTTTGTTGCTTATTATTTCAAGCCTGATTGTATCAGAATGGCAACGTGAGGTCTGTACCGATATCCTTACCTATCACAGAGGAGAAGATGCGTATTACTAAGTCACACACTTTGTTCTTTATATTGAAAACAATAAAAACCAAAACAAAACCTGTTGCCGTCGAGCGGATTCTGACTCATGGTGCCCCTACAGGACAGAGTAGAACTGCCCCAGAGGGTTTCCAAAGAGCAGCTGGTAGATCGAAGTGCCGACCTTTTGGTTAGCAACCGAGCTCGTAACCACTGAGCCACTAGGGCTCCACTGAAAACAATACTCAATATAAATACAGACTTACTGTCACATGGTCAAACAAGTGGAACGTAAGAGAGTCCCCTCCGGTTGTGGCTGAGGTAATTTTGTTTTGAAATCGTTGAAGGGATCCTGGTTTCCATTCAGATCGGCTATCTGGGCCACAGGAGAGCACTAAACCATCTTTATTTTTTAGGTAAGCAGCACCTTTAATCCCAAACCTGAACCATTGATAGAACAAAAGTCCAGAGACAGGTAATACAGTCTTAGTATGCAGACCGTGTATACTTATCTAGACTGCTAGTTCTTCTAAGTTAAAAGAAATTCCTTGTCCTGTGATTTACCTCCAAATGTTTATTTCATCTGAGCAGAAGCAAATTTTTGCTTATGAGGAAGTAAAATCTAATCCTAAAATGACAACTGATATCAATGGACTAGATTCAATCTCCTACCTCGTGCTGAATTATATACATTGTGTACATGTACCTTTACAGTAGAGGGTCAGCGAAAAACAGGAAGACCCTCAACGAGACGGACTGACACAGGCTGCAACAATAGGCTCAAGCATAATAACGATTGTGAGGATGGTGCAGGACCGGGCAGGGTTTCATTCTGTTGTACGCAGGGTGGCTATGAGTCGGAAACGACAGCACCTTACAACAACTTTATAGTTGCTAAAATAAGTATTTGACAAATTATATCGAATGTACTGTTTGTGTTCTAGACTTGTAGTTTAACTATGATTTCTTCTTACCCATTTTGTTGGATATAACATACCTTGGTATAAATACAAGCACACCATTAGTTCTAATTGAATAAATGACACCATCAGATATGCACCGCTCCTCAGTCTCAGGGTCTCTGTCTTTAAAATACATGCACTGGAAAAGCTCAGTAGACTGCTTCTGAGAATGCTGAGCCGCCTGGAAGACAAAGCACACACAAAGCATGACAACAGACTTCTCTCATTCCCAGAAGGAGCATGCATTCGTACTCCCACAGAAACACCGTCCTCCTTAAAAAGGTTAGATTCTATAAAACCCTTAATACAAAAATTGTTTTAGATTATGAATTACATCAATTTTTGTGGGAACATAACTATACAGTATTAATCCCTCAAAAATGCCTTAGAAAATTCTTTTAAGAAAACAACCTGTTATTTAGAACCTGTTTCTAGATCATTAAATTGTTAATTGCTGTCAGGTCGATTCCAACTCATAGCAACCCCATGTATTACAGAGTAGAACTGCTCCATAGGGTTTTTTTTTTTTTTTTTTTCCTGTAATCTTAATAGAAGCAGATCCCCAGGCCTTTACTCCATAGTACTGCTGGGTGGGTGTGAACCACCAACCTTTAGGTTAGCAACTGAGCACCAACCGCTTTGCGAGAGGTTCGCAAATCTGGGACACGCCCATTTCAGGTAAAGGAAAAGTATCACCCATGTGTTAACCTTAATTTTCAACTTTGCTCTACCAAAATCCTGTCGGTGGCAGTGTAAATCGGCACTATTGTTCTGGAGGGCGATGTAGTCACACATATCACAGTTTTAGTTGTGGACACCTTTTGACTGAGCAATTCCATTTCTAGAAACCTATCCAGGCAAAAATCTGACAAGTCTGTAAAAGTGTACACACAAGGACAGTTGTAAACTCGAGTAACCAGAACAGCACTGCCCAACAGAACTTTCTGCAGTGATGGCAATGTTGTGCATCTGCCTTGAGCAACAGGGAGCCACGAGCCACACGTGGCTATTGACCATGTTAAATGTGGCTGGCGCGACGGTGGAGCTAAAAGTTTAATTTTATTTGGTTTTAGTTAAATTTAAATTTAAATAGCTAATGTGGCTAGTAGCATAGCACAGAACTCAAACACAGAGTGACAGAGAAACTGGAAACTCCCTAAGTGTTGACTGTATCTCTGAATCTGAATACAATGCAGCTTGTAAAACGATGATGCAGCTATTTATTGACATGGCATACTATCAATAACAGGTGGGTTATTAAGTGAAAAAAAGCAGATTTCAAACAGCACGTATGATATTTTTATAAATAAAAATGTTGGGAGTATCTGGAAGTGTTACTAGTGGTTACCCCTGGGAAGTAAGATGATGGGCATCTCTACTGTCTTCTTTTCACATGTTTATGTGTTACCTGATCTTTTACACTTCTACATTTTGGGAAAGAAAAATTTCACCTACTGTTAAGTCTCCCAATCTACCCCAGAACATTTGTAAATCTGTTGAGAGCTACTCAACAAACTATAATTTTTCATGTTACTTCATTGGCTAGAATAATTCTAGAATTTGATTTGCTAGAGTATATGGTACCTCATTCTGCTACACAATAAAGCTGATATTCTCCTAACAAAAGAGGTGATAGGGTAGGAGGGTTTAAAATAACCCTCTTACTCGGTTTCTGTTGTTGATGTGTCTGCATAATTCCTCCAGATCTTTGTTGCTGAACAGATTTTCCTCAATTTCCATCTTCTTATCTTTTGAGATGGCTGCCATTAACAGTCGGTGTACCACAATATCGGAATATCTTCTTATTGGAGAAGTAAAGTGGGTATATTTGTCTAATGCAAGACCTTTAAAAAGGAATCAAAAGACTGAAATAAACGACAACAAAAACAAACTTTTAAACAACTTGTTCAAGGTTCTCGCCACACATAGGAAAATGTTCTCACTTACCATAATGGTAGAACTCGGCCTCGGCACCCGATCCCGTGGAGACATACAGTGCATTAGACATGGCCTGCGTAGCCATAGAGCGCAGCAGCCTGTTTACAACGGGATCGCTGGGGTCGTGGGCATTACCCAGAGAATCAGCCAGTGTTTTATTGGATCTGACAAAGAACAGAAAAAGTATTTATTTAGCCCCAAGCAATAATTTATAAATCAACACTCTGAGGGGAACCTTCACTCATCAGCCGGAATACCTTGGCCTGACAGTAACTAAGTTTACTTTGGACACATCTCAGAAGCAAATCTTTTCAACTACTGAAATCTAGTTTACTTTTAAGGTTTAAATAAAGAAAGTGTGCCAACATTTAAATAAATTTAAGTAGTCAAGAGTAATGTGCTGATACCTACGAGGTTAAGTTAATGCCTGGCACCCAGTAGGTGGTCAAATATGTGCTGAACTGAATTCTTAATACCCTTAAACTTGCTCCAGAGAATGGACTTTTTTTTTTTTTAAGTCAAGAATCACTGAGCCAGAGAGAGTTCAAAATGAAACTAAACTAAACCTAGGGTACATAAGTGAAATAACCCTAACTTAGTCTTTCTTTTGAAGGGAGAGGTCTAT